GATATTTTAGTAACTACTGAAGATAATTCACTCAAAATTGATACTTAGAATGAGTTTCAGACGGAAAACATGAATATTATAAATTTTTCGAAAATGGGCGTAGCCACGCCCACTTATGGTTACATGTGTATATCTTGGTAACCGCTGCACCAATTTCTTCCAAACTTGGCACAGTTGTTGGCCTTAGTACAGCATACTAAATGGCTGAAAATTTTAAAAATCGGACAATAACCACGCCTACCTCCCATATAACGGTAATTTTCAGAAAAACAAAAACTGCAATATTTTAGTAACTACTGAAGATAATTTACTCAAAATTGATATTTGCAATGAGTTTTAGACGAAAAATAAGAATATTACAAAATTTTGGCAAATGGGCGTAGCCACGCCCACTTATGGTTACATGTGTATATCTTGGTAACCGCTACACCAATTTCTTCCAAACTGGGCACAGTTGTTGGTCCTGGTACAGCATACCAATTGGCCGAAAATTTCTAAAATCGGACAATAACCACGCCCACATCCCATATAACGGTAATTTCGAGAAATACAAAATCTTCGATAAATCAGTAAATATTGAAGCTAATTTATCCAAAATTGATGATTGCAAAAATTCTTTACCAAGAAATACGTTTATGACAAAATTTTGGAAAATGGGCGTAGCACCGCCCACTTGTGATCACATATATGTATCTCGCTAACCGTTCTAGCAATTTGTACCAAGCTCGGTATGGTTATTGTGCTTGCCACATAAAAGCAAACCGTTGAAAATTGTTGAAATCGGACTAAAATTGAGGCCGCTTTTCATATAACGATAAATTTCAGATATGCTTGAAATTTCAATATTTCGAAATTTAAGGACGCTAATTTACTTAAAATGTATACACCCCGGCTTATCATGTAGCGGTAGCTTTCGGAAAGGTGGAAAACATATATTTAATACTTGCGCCGGGTATTTAATGTTCGGCTCCGCCCGAACTTAGACTTTCTTACTTGTTCTTTTATATTTTTTTTTTTTTCGAAGAAAGCCGACATGTTGGTACTGATTTAATTGAGAAAATCTTTAGAAATCGTACAGTTAACCCTACAAACCTTGAATAACTTCAAACACTTTAGC